TTTGATTCCTATCTTATTATTATTATAAGGAAGGAGGAGGAGGAGGCAGAGGAGGAGGAGGTGGAGGAGGAGGAGGAGGAGGAGGAGGAGGCGGAGGAGGTTGTGCTCCTGATGTCATGGACAAAAATATTTCATGGCCTGAAGAGAATTGCAGAGGTCATGGTCTGAGCTGTGATAAGGGAATGACAGCACCTTTGGGTCATGGGAGATCGCCATTGAGAGTGGATGCACTCCAGTCTCTTGATGATTTGGAGCTTGCCAACGTGGCAGTATTTGGGCATAAGACGTTCCGTCCCTTGCAGAAGCAATGTTGTGCGGCAGCTATGCAGGGAAAAGACTGCTTTGTTCTCATGCCAACTGGTGGTGGAAAGAGCCTGTGCTATCAAGTGAGTTGAGACTTTTGACAGTGAAATGAATTTTACGTAAAAGAGAAAAAAAAGAATCTTTAGAAAAACCTTTAAGAAGACCTAAAAAAAACCTTCAATAAGTACTTCCCTTCGAAAACAACCGTGAACAAAAACTTAGGAAAAAAAACGCTTTGAAAACATGGAAAAACTCGGCAAAAGCCTTGCAGCAACAGCAAACGACGGAGGAGTGAATGCAGTTAAGTTCTTCAAAAATGTTTCCTGTAGTTCTCTCACTAATTTCTCTTCTTTTTTTCCATAGAAAGTGAGTGCATAGACCAAGCTCCCTTTTGTCTTAGCAACCCTCGTTGGCATTTAAAGTTTAAACCGTACTTGCGGCGCACCTCGTCTGTGCGCTGCGCAGCGCGCGATGCGCTCCGCGTAGATGCGCCGGGACATGCGCACAGACCGGGCGCATATGCGCCAGATGCGCACGGTTATTTTTATTTTGTTTTATTTTTCTCTGCAGTTCCTTGTCTTTTCTATTTCTCTTGGCATTCGCAGATTGCATAGCATCAACGATACAACACACTTTGCAGTTTTGCACGGTTTTGCAACTTCACAGAATGCAATGCATACAGAAAATGGCCTTGGGGACAGCGATCACAACTCACCTTCCTGTTGGTTAAGCAACATGTGTGCAGTCAGAGACGAAGCATGTTCGTTGTTAACACGCAGGCAGAAACGCGAACCAACACAAGATTTAGAGCAAAAAACAGAGTCAGACTCAGAATGACAGATGAAATGGATCAAGCCTAGATTATGTTCATAAAACCGGAGTCTCGGCCACCAAAAGCAGCAAAACCTACGGGTTACTCGGCCTGCTCCTACGAGTTACTCGGCCTGCTCCTACGGGTTACTCGGCCTGTCCCCCCGAGTCTGACTCCCCGCCAAACTCCGCCTGCGACGGGTCCCCCTCCGACTCATCCCCGTCTGGCTTCTCCATTGCCGCCCGATTACTGGGACAGTTCCTCCTCCTCCTCACTATCCTGTGCCGCACTTCCCTCCGATGATGATGGTGCCGATGAAGAAGTGTTACATCTTCGACTCACACGGGTCCTACCGGACCCGACTTAGGGCCGGAGGGACACACCAGGGCCTAAAGGCCCGACCTTTTTGGGTTACAGGCCCTAAAGGCCTGATTTTGGACCAGCACCCATCGGGTAGGCCCAAACGACACTTCGTTTGGGCCTGGCGGCGCTCTTGAAGCTGCCGCCCGCCGATTGAGGCTGAACCGTSCATCTGGACGGTCCAGGGTCTGGCCTGGCCTCGCAGCATTGAGGCCAGACCATTGCCTACCGGTATAAGTACCGGTACCTGCCTCAGTTGAGGCATCGGCCTACCGGTGTGAGGAAACCCGGGGAGGGGTCGCCTACCGCTCGCTGAAGCCAAGGGCAACGGCGCCTGTCACTCGCCGCGCCCGCTTCCGAGGTCCTCAGCGACCAGGGCGGTTTGGGGCTTGTGCTGCCTGTCACGCGCCCACTTAGAACTTGAGTCTGAAGGCTCAGACCATACACTAAAAAAAGGAAAAAAAAAAAAAAGGACAAAAGATGCAGTCCTGCAAATATGAGATCTGTGTCGAGAACCTCGTGGGAACCGTCTCAGATACTCAGGGATATAATCTGCAATTTGTCTGTCCGTGGTACGGGAAGAAGTTTCGTCTGAACAGCAGATTCACCCCGCAGGCGGGGCACATGTGAAACTGAGCTTAAACCTTCGGGGTCCATCCGCAATTTAGTTCAAACAAAATGCGGCCATGTCTCCCCCAAAGATTTAACCTCAGCGGAAGCTCAGTGGGAGTAATCTCTCCAGAATTCCAGAAACATTTCAGGGATGACTTCGTCTTACCTCCCCCTTTACTTCAACCCCATGCTGGTCTCATGTAATACCAATGGTTTATACCCCTGGAAAACCCACAGCCAATGGTCGATATCAAACGAGCGAATCTGGTTCCCGCTCCGACTGAAGCTTCCTTTTTCAACAGAAATAGAGTGACAGAACCCAGGGGCAGCATATAATAATAAAATTATTATTAAACTATATACGTTATATTATGTATATGAAATTGTAGTGGACGGAAAAATATCAGGAGACAACTTCCTGTAGCTAATTAACAGCTGAATGATGGTGGAGAGACGTTTCACCATAGAGCCTCATCGGTACCGTCTGATTGAGAAAACCATAACAGTCTCCTTCAGCCGTTACCCCGCTGCACTTCCTGTAGAGCATGCTGGCGACGTTTTCCCCCTTTTCATTTTACTTCGTTATGTTCAAATGTTCAAACCATCAAGATCCGAATGGTCAAATCACTCATGTTGAAGGCTTATTGGGCCGTGCATGGTCTGATCTTTAATTAGGAGTTTGTGTTGAGAGAGATGACCCTTAATCGAAAAAAAAAAGGGGGGGGGTGAAAATCCGCCCAATAACTCGGGAAGTGCTCATCAATGGAGGATGGGGTCTATTGCAGCCTTCGCGTCATCAACATTGTTGAGTTCATGCAGTGCTCTCAAGTTTTTCCCCCCATTTCTCGCTGAGCAGAGAACTCTCTCCCTCTCTCTCTCCCTCTCTGCAGTCTTCCTCTCTAACTGCAGTCTCTCTCTCTTTGGGCGTGCACAGTCTCCCCCTCTTTCCCTCCTTCTATGTTCTTCTTGCGTTATGTCTGTTTGGACACGGAATCGAGATCCGTGCGGTCAGAACCTGCGTCTTCAAGTCCCCCTTGGGGGTATGCGGTCTGATCTGCAATAGGAGATGGCAGTGGAGAAAGCTGGTCGATGCCTCATCATCAAGTCATAATGGCATGCTAAAAAAAACTAGTCCAATCTTACTCGTTGGTCAGAAAGGTTCTCCAATGGGGACGACACTCTCTGTTCTTCATTGGTTGTTCCCTCCGAATCCCACAGATCCAGATAAGAGAGTGGGAAGAAGATTTCGCTGTTCAGTCTTTCCCTCACCCACTCAGCTCTCCCCCACTTCGTGCTTGATTACTCTCTCTCTCTTTCTCTCTCTCCCTCTGTCTCTCTGCAGTCTCTGTCTCTCTTTATAAGATCTGACTCCCTTTATTCTTTTTTAATTTATTGTTATTATTATTTTTTTTT